CCGACAATTAACAATGGGTCTGGGATTTCACACTCGTACCAGATGATCTATCTCATCAATGAAAACTAGTTCGCCGAGTCTTTGCTATTCAGATACAGTGGTGGGTACTGCATACCATCAAAACATCCACTGAGTTGCGTTATCGAAAACGGTAGCATAAAACCGTACCATAAGACCCTAAAGAAAGCACCAATGAGTAAATAAATTACCCTTAAATCCCCACTGAAATTATGCCACTTGGGATATGAAATTGTACGCTTCAATTCCCAAGTTTTAACCCATTTACTAAATATAATGAGTTCAATTCATTAAATAAGTTGCATTGCCAAAAAAAAAATATATTTAAATAAAAAACTATAAGTCCACCAATCAATGTGGCATAGAATGGTCCCCCAATAAAACATTAAAATGGAAAATTGCCATTATAATTACCTCGTGGATTTTTGAGGGTCACAGCTCAAAGGTTGAAGGTGAGCGGAAGGTCATGGAACTCTAATTTCACCTACGCTGGCTGATCCAATTTGGAAGTTCACAATAACGAGCAACAATAAAATCAAGGCTCTAAGAGTCTAGGCTCAAACAATTCAATCCAAGCGACGTGATGTGATATTCTATTGTGAGAATAGAACTAATTAATTTACAATAAAACAAATTCACAAAATGGTGGACTTACCGACTAGAAGAAATAGATAAATCCCTTAGAAAGGTGATTTGGCTGCCAAAAGGTAACAAAAACCAAAACTAGACTGGCAAAACCAAAATTGAAATTATCTGGATGACCTGATCCTAATTAAATAGAGAAAATCACTTAATTTTCTTTATGGTCAACCGGATAAAAAAACTATTCTTCAGGCCAAAGCCAAAGTGTTCTTGTCGCTGGACGAAATGGAAAAGACCGTTGTACGATTTTTGGGACCCTAAACCAGAAATTTCTACGCACTAACTTTTTTTTATGTTACATTTTTTTCTATCGAATTCCACATTCCACACTTTAGGAAGGATTGAAAGATAACGACAAAGATATCGATAGTCGTCAGCGAAACCTCCAAAGGGACTCAACAAATGGAACCGACTCAATCCACACAAATCAGGAAAACACTATTCTCGTTAAAATCTATAAATAACTTCACTTATTAAATAATATTGTCCATACCTTCTCTGACACGACACCAATTATATCGACATGTATTGAAAAACCCAACCCTACGCGACCAAAACCAAAGTACCAGCAAATTGATCGATATAGGTACTCGATAACAGGTAGATAAAAGAAACGAAATCCTCCAGTAAGAGAGAGACAGAGAGGGAGTGAAAACTAAAGGAATTAATCCTTCGAAATGAGCCTCGCGCGAAAATAAAATTGAATGACAATTAGCTGGACATAACCCCTTTTTATTTGAAAATCAAAACAATGTTGGCTATCGACTAATGAAATTGATAATTTATGTATATTCCTTTTAAGGACAACAAGAATAAGATAACCAGGCATTGTTCAATAAATATTCATCTGCAATGGTCAACTAAATCATTAGACAAATGATAAGGAGCAAAATCTTGTCTGGCTGTGCCTGAAATTATCTAAAAAGATGCAGAGTAAGATAATTAATATCCAATCAATTAAGTCAGCTCTAAAATAATATTTGTGTGTTACCAGTTAAAACGCTGAATGACTCATTTAAAGGGAAGAGCAAAATTAAAATGTTACACCATTAATGATACAATAATTGAAAATATATCATCTATAAACGATCTACGAATAATTTTCGACATTGACCTAACGTTTAATTTGCATATTGATAGCATTGTTCTGAAGGGATTAAGAATGCTGGACTTTATTAAAAGAAATTCAAAGCACATTAGAGATACAAAAGCAATCACTAGTTTGTAAAATTGTCTAGTTCGTAGTTTGTCAGAGTACTGTTCTGTAATCTGGTCACCTCGTTACGATTGTTATCTCGGTATATGGAAATCCAGATATTTTATGACAAAAAGTTAAATTCAAAAGTTATAAGGTTCAAATCATAAATTTGTTTTTTTTTTTTATATTTGCGCATATACAAGGGGTGTCAAGAAAGTGTGACACATTATTTTTTATTTTTTTTGAAGTGAAACTTCTTAGGCGGCGTTCTGTTATTTGGACGACAATGGAGAGTGATTTGAAAAACGCATCACAGGGAAATTTCGATATGACGTGAAGGGACAGCTGATGATTGACACAAACCAAGGACTCTAAGCGCAAGGAGGATCGCCTATTATTGACAAGCGCGGATATTGACACAAACCAAGGATTATAGGCGTAAAGAGGATTACCTAATATTGACAAGCGCCGATACTATTGTGACGTCTCCCTTTTGTTATACTATTATAGGTATCATTGTGTTTTGTGATTATTTTTGTCATTTACATATTTGTGTGCTGTGTTTTTTTTGATAACATCCGTGAAGAGTCATTATGTGAGTATATTGAGATTATCAAAATATTATCAAAAATTATATTAAAGACGGAGAAAAACAGCCATTGATTATCACAAATTAAGGATTAATTATGAGCGCAAAGAGGATTATTGTCAAGTACCGATACCCTTGTGACGTCACTACAGATGCGCGTTTCCCTTCGTCTTTATCCCGACTCATACGCTAAGTCTAAAAGTTTTATGAGTGTGGGATAGTTTTTAAGAAGTTTCACTTCTACCACGTGTACGGCGTTGCACATGTTTTTTTTTTTTTTAATGGGACACACTGTATATTTTTATATTTTTTGATAGCGTTTTTGAAGAAAAATATAAATATATAGGTTTTATAATTTTTTTAACGTTTCTGCAATAATCTAAAAATTGGCCGTTCCTCGGAGATAACCGTAAATAAATCCGAAACCGTGCAAAACAACCCTATCAAACTATATATATATATTTATAATTGTCTTTAAAAGCGCTATCAAAAAATATAAAAATATACAGGGTGTTGCGATAAAAATAAATTAATCTGATGAGTCACTTTTTTTTTACACTCCCTGTATATGCGTAAATACAAAAAAACAAATTAATGACTTAAACCCTACATCTTTTTGTCATAAAATATCTAGATTTTCATATACCGAGAGCCTAAGTCGAGAAGTGATTACTTAGGCCAAGAAGAAGTGATTACTTTCCGGCCGAAAAAATAGTGTTCCTATATAATACGCCCGAAAAGTATTTTTTCGGACTCGTAGAAAAATGTGAGGAAAAGTGACATTAAAAGAAGAAGAACTGATTACGCATTGGCATTAGGTTTGTTTGCTTGTGTTGTTCGGGGCAGCACTTCCTGCTTCGAGGCGTTCGTTTGTAAGCGTTTTATGTGGCTGTAACTGCCATAATCTAAAATATTACAGCTTAGTTCATTTTAGTGCTACACAAACAAACAAACCTATTGTTGTGGCGAGAGCGCCAGGTAGAATTTCTTTCTGATTGCTTAAACGACTTTTAGGAACTAGGCCGAAAATGAAGCATTTTACGGACTGAAATGGGTCCGAAAAATAGACATTTTTGAGGCCTAATACACGACTAAGATTGACAATTATCAATATTGACACGAGTACTAGGAGTCGGAGAGCTGACTGAAAAAAAATCTGTAGAGATCGACATTACAGTTTTCTGTTTCGGTTTAAAATCGCCAAAGCGAATATTGCTTGGGCGAGCGTAATATGATTTTTTTTTGATTTTCTGGTATGTTGTGTCCAAAAATCGGAAGGACTCAGAACACTTGTGCGCGGCACGACTTCCACGACCTGTTGCTATGTCCCTGCCTGAACTAATCTTCTAAACCTAATCACATTTTAAATTCCAATAAGACGTACAAGAGAATGAGAATATTTTATTCTGCAGTGTATTGAATTTTTAAATAAAAAAACAAAACTGAAACAAAAATAATAACAAAGCAACACAAACTATTGGTTTGTGATTTTGAAAACATTGGATTTTGATAACGCGTGTTGTTGTAATTACTGGGATTTTTAGTTTTAGTTTTACGTTGTACTATTGTTTATTTTTGGAAACTTGATATTTTGCTAAAAAGTAGATGCTTTTTTGCCTACGTTGTTAACATAGAAAATTAATTAGTAGAGAATATACCTACCTACAGTTGTTTACATGTCAATAATCATGTAGAATACCTACAACTCGTTGAAGCAACATGTTGGAAACTTTTAGAAATATAAAGCTTAGTCCACACCAAAGAAACACATAAGAACATTTTGTTGTTGGTTGCCACAATCTGTTTATGGAAACATAAACAACAGCGAAGGTTCCGTAAACATTCTGTCTACACCATGGTTACGAAACCCGCAGAAAAAAGTTCCAGGAACAAGCAACATAAACACAATGTGCCTATAGGTTGCTTTCGGTGTGAACGTAGCTTTATATTAGCATTGTCCAAAAAAAAATTCTTTTTCTATAATATGGTCTAGAAGTCAAACAAATTAATAGGATTTTAACCATCCTTAAACATTTCAGTCACGTCCTTTATACTTGTAATGTAATGAAATATTGTACCTACAAAATTCAATTTAATAGGGAAATTATTGAAATACTACCGCATCATAATTAGTATTATAGTCATTTATTCTAATTCTAATGGTACCATTATCAGAGACATCTTTATTTCCGGGATGAATAACAAAATATTTATCAATTACGTAATTTGTAATTTGAAATTGTTGTAGAACATGTTTCATAAAATTTGCTGGAAATCGATTATCTCATCACAGATTTTAAAAAAGAACGTTTTGGCCTGTGATTTTCTACTCATTATGTAATTAATATACCTACTAAGTATAAATTTACAAAGATCATCAAGAGTAGCGTATGACTTATCGTTTATTTATCGCGGCTTGGGCTTCCAGAGCGATTATGTCGCTTATCATAAGGAATATTTCCCCTGCGATACTGGGTAATCCCCCAAAATAAATCCATTTTCCAAAACGATAATATTTATTATTGTAAAATATTTCAAAACATAATATCTTTCGGGATTTTTGTTGAAAGATAAGAATATTTTTCAAATAAATCTCATCATGCTTTTGAATTATTTTTTTAATCTTTCATTATATTTTTCTAGAGAGAGGTGGTTGAAAAGGCAATCCTGACAACTAAATAATAATAGGGCAGCCGGTACTGATATGGATTACCTATTGAGACTATATCTTCCGAACTTAGAGATGCCGCTATAGTTGCTATTTTTAAAAAGAGAGACCAGGCTCAATATCGAAATTACATACAGGAATATCTTTACTTGCTGTTGCGGGAAAAATACTTGCCAGGAAAATATCAAATCTTCCAATCTTAACTCCCGGAGAGAATCTCCCAGAGACACTGTGTGGCTTTGGACCCAACCGAGGTACAGCTGATTTTCAGTGCAAGACAAATGCAAGAGAAATCCAGGGAGCAAAATCGCCCTCTATACATGGCCTTCATAGATTTAGTTAAAGCATTTGAATCGGTCAAAAGAGAAGGAAGATATTAGCAAATGTTGGGTGTCCGCAAAAGTACCTACATCCAAATACTCCGCCTGCGACATGATAATATGAAAATCTTTTCAAATAACTACAGTACAGCCGTTAAACAGGGCTGTGTTATTGCAACCACTTTATTTTCTCTATTCATAGGATCCATACTTATGTCGAGTGTCACCTGTCATCAGGAGTGGAAATTCTGTAAAGACTTGATGGCGGCGTATTCAACCTAAACATATTACGAGTCAAGTCGAAAGTATCGACGGCATCGAAAATTGAACTTCAATATGCGAATGATAACGTCTTGATGGCCAATACAAAGGACGATCTTCAGGCAATTATCAATGCATTCAACAAGGCATACAGGAAAATCGGCCTAGCGGTCAACTTCAACTAGACACAGATTCTGCACCTATTTGCACCAGGCACTAATTTCCAAGCCACAAATATAACTATAAACTACCATTCTTTGTAGAAGGTAGAACACTACCCATACCTTGAAAGCCATCTGTCAGCGAATGCAACCACGAACGCTGAAATCCAACATCGCTTGAAGTGTGCTAGTGCGGCGTTCGGGCGACTTCTAGAGAGAGTTCTCAACAATCACGACATCAGCGCTGAGATCAAATTTCATGTCTACAATGCAGTTGTGATACCAGCACTTACATACGGCTGCGAAATATGAACCACCCACAGAAGACACATAACAAGCCTAGAAAAATACCACCAGCGATGCCTAAGAAGGATCCTACGGACAAAATGGTAGGACCGACAAACGAACCTTACTGTCTTAGAGGAAGCCAACACAACTATCTGGAAGCCCTCATTATAGAGTACCTACCAACTTCGCTGGACGAGTCACCTCGTCCGCATGCCCGAAACACGTCTTTCACAGCAGATTCTCTACAGTCAACTGGAAGAGGAAAAACCAAATCAAAGAGGTCCAACAAAAACATTACAAAGATGTTCTTAATAAGTCTGTTCAACCCGCCAAAAACCTGTCCTAAAAATGGTTTCGGAACCACTCTGTATACGAATTTGGGATTCTACGCACAAACTTTACGTTTTGCGCAGAATCTGACGGTGAGATGTACGGTTTTACGGTTCCCTGCTGGGTCGGAACAAAGCTATCGAGAATATGGAATAATTATAATACCAAAAAATGTGATAAATTTGGAGTTTATAACTTGTGCCTTGCCTACACCACAAAATAGGTATCGAAACGCACCAACTTTTGAATGCGGAAAAAAAAGGACCTGAGCCAAATTGTTTTGAGAAAGCATAATAATAATCCTACCAGCAAAATACAGCCATAAAACTGAAAAAAAGTTATCCTCGACAGATTTCCCTCGGGATTTCTCACAATATACAAGTGTAATTTACAATATTGTTCTCGTAAATGTCTATGCTAATAGTAATGTCAATCATCTAAAGAAAACAGAAAAATGGGGACGAACATCTACAAGAAAAACACCAAGAATCACTGAACTGCAATCTCAGAAAAACAAAATAATAATAATTCCAAAACGATGGTGTAGATCCAGACAAAGTTCATTTTTGTTATGCTGATGAAGCTACAACGTAGCAAAAAAAATTCAATTATTTTAAGTACGTTTTTATTTAACAAATCTTGTTGTTGATGTTTAATAGTAGGTATAAAACATTTTTTTCTACGCAAAAGAGAGAAATAATCTGTTGAATTACGTAGGGTTGTTTCAGAGCTGGCGTCAAATTCATATTCTATTGAAACATCCAGTATTATAAAATCCCATCAAATGTAAATGACATTAAAATTCTTGTCGAGAGTTAAGTGTTGTAATTATAGAATTATCAAGCATAAAGACTTCCATTTTATTAATTGTTATGCATCTTTAACATTTAATATGAGCTGACGTCATTTTATTTTATTTTTTACAGGTAAACAGTAGTTTTTTTTTTGTTTTTTATTCGGGAAGTACTTGAGCCTTGATAAATTACCATAGTATGTGGTAGTCCTGTCACAAAAGCTTTAAATCTTGAATTTACGTTCTCATGGGCAAAAATTACCCATTTCGCGTACCACGGCGACCTTTAGAGGATGTAAAGTGATAATATGTTATTAATAATTTATCCATCTGAGCGCCTAACAGCCTCAATTGCCTTGACAACAAAATTTGAAATTTTTGTTTTGATAAGTTGCGTTTATTAGTTGTTAGGAAACCGATGTGCAAGCAATGTTTTGGTATAGTGTCGCGATAATCTGGGCCAGTTGGTATGCTGATTGTGTTTCGTGTTTATTGCATGCGAACAATGTTTGCCGGCAATTGAGAGATTACAGCACAATTGAGACTAATACGAATTGCAGTTATAATCCAGATGTTGGATCTACACCAGTAAGTTTTTGAGAATCTTATAAATTAATTTTTGAGGATTTTTTTTGAATAAGAGCAAGTTTACGTTAACGATTTTTCTTAAAAACAGTAAATGATTTTCTAGCCATAAATTATCTAGTAATTTATGCCAATTTTTTATTATGCCAATAATTATTATTTCCTTAACATTTTTAATCGAATTTTGAAAAAGTTTTGTTCGTTACAGGCCATATAACTTTCTTATTTTTAGGAATAAAAATTTGAAACATGAAAAACGATCATTGACTAGTTAAGCTCTCTTCGAAAATATTTAAAAAATCTACCCTGACAAAATCTTACCCCTTTTACAAGCCTTGACTTTTTTTCTCAAAAGGCATGTCTATCATTTAATTTTTTATTTTTGAGAAGCTCATGAAATTGCAAATTCAATGATGTACAATCGCCTGTATAAGGCTAATTGTGACACCCATTTTTTTTTTTCCCGAGAGACATGGAAAAACAAACTTTTGATACACCATTGAATTTGTAATTTCATGAGCTTCTTAAAAAAAGGGATGCCAGTTGAAAAAAAAAGTCAAGGGTTGTATTTAGGGGATGATTTTGTCAGGGAAAGATTTTTTTTATATTTTGAAGAGAGCTTAACTTGCCATTAATATTTTTTTTCTTTGAAATTTTTATTTTTAAAAGTAAGAAAGTTATGGCCTCCAACGCTGATTGTGGGACACTCTGTAAATATAAAATTATAATTTGAGTAATTAATCATGATATATGAATTAATGCTTGGGAGAGTCTTAAAACATCCCTAGTCCTATCAATTAAAATTTTATAGCTCGATTTGCGTTATTAGGATATTTGAGGCAAGAGATTATAATGGCTTTATTGACAACGATAATAATTATAATATAACTAGGAATATAATCAGCCTGCATATTATCATGCAACTTGCAATTGATTGTTTAAAATTATGTAGTATTTATATCTGAACAATAAATTGCAATTTAGATGTAACTTCGTGACAGTAATTTGTCTGTTAGAGAAATTACGCTTGGCTCGGAAGCTAGTAAATAGAATTAAGTAATTCTAAACAAATGATATTTAAAAAAAGAAAATATGTACCTAACTTGCATACATCAAAACCACCCAATAATGCTCGATAGTATCTATTCGTCTTAAGGTCTATATTCGCTTCCATATACGCAACGAAGAACGCAGACTGAATCCCGATGAGAAAGAAGTAAAAGCAACTTTTTCATGTTGTAAATAAAAATTCAAAACTAAATTAGTAAATGTCAAATAACTGAAACAAAAAAAAAAAAAAACTCACCATGTAAAAAAAATACATAAGTACCTAGTGCCACAAACTAAAGCAACATAAACCTCCTTTTATAAAAATTCAATAAAATAGGTATAAAAAATATACAAGAAATAGAAAAAGTATAAAAAAATATAAATATCAAAATGTTTAGAAGAGGTAGGATTTTTATATTATTTTTAGAATATTTTCTTTTATATTTTTTATACTTATTTTTTATATTTTTAAAACAGCAGGTTTATGTTAATTTTATTTTTAACATGTCATATTTTTACTACATGGAAGGTGCTACACAATCAATTTCATTATGTTGTGTATCTTTTTTTTCTCAAATATTATGTTTGTTTTAGAAGTTTGCTTTATATATTTGCAAGTGTGAGTTTTCTTTTATCTGTCAATCTAATTGTTGGATAACTGTCAGTATCATAATGGTAATTGTGAATGTTTTTCTTACTTTCAACCTTGATATCATCATCATATAGGTGATCACTTGACACCGAGTATAATTATCTTCTATTCTATTCTTATTGTCGTCGATTGTGCATTTTCTGATTGCTATATAAACCAATTCTAGAGCCGCACACTCTCTCAAAGTCTTGGCACACCCAGTCTCTGGTAGCATTGTCTCTTCCTCTGCTCTCTCTGCGACGCTGTTCTTAACAGTTTGTCGTCCGTCGTCGACTAATGAGAAAGGTCATTTATAGTTATGTTTAGAGGTTGGGGATTAGTGCCCGGTGCGGGTTGGTGCAGAATCTGCGTATTGTTAAAGTTGACCTCTAGGCCGATTCTCCTGCCTCAAGATCTTTTTTCTGAATTGGCCATCACGACGTTATCATCCGCATATTGAAGTTCAATTATCGATGTCGTCGATACGTCTTGGCTCGTAATCTGTTTAGATTGATTAAGCCGCCATCAAGTCTGTACAGGATTTCCACTCCTGACGGTAGGTGACCCCCCACAAGGAAAAGTATGGATTCTATCAATAGAGAAAAATAAACTAGGTGCAATAAGACAGCCATGTGTAACACCTGTAGTCATGCGAAAAGACTCTTCTTGTCCATCGTTGCTTAAGACGGTTGCATTCATATTATCATGCAGCAGGCGGTGGATTTGGATGTACCTACTTTTGCAGACATCCAACTTTCGTCAATATCTTCCAAAGTGTTGCGCGCTGAGCTAGTTTTTAACCGAAGCTAAACGGCATAAGGGATAACTATCCCCTTGCGGGTGACAATTAAAACTTGGGCACAAAAGTCCTTGGTTTTCAGATCAAGTGACAGTTGTAGCGGCGTTTTCCTGCCCAATTAAATGAGGGATTGTTTTCTAGTAAGTCAGTGAGATTAATGAAACTGATTTTAATTAGAGGCCTGGTTCCGCCCATCAAGCGTAAAGGGACGCCAATAAACAACAAATTAAATTAAACAACTACTGCTACTAAATACATATATTACATATGTAAAAAAAAAAACAAAGATTTGTCATTAAATAATGTCAACGCAAATTTGAAATAAAATAAAGTTAACTTGCATTGAAACAAAAGGCTTAAAGTTAATTTCATTCACACATCAAGCACACAAATACTAAATTTAAACATTAACTAAATAAATGGTACTACAAATTAGAAGAAAACAATAAGCAATTATTGCTTTTATGTTCAATACAATTTTACGTTAAAAGCTTTATTGCTGTTAGATAAGGGAGGTTCTGTCTTTCATCAAGGAAGTTCCATTGACTTGTTGCAAAATGCACACTGCATAAGTCCATATACAAAGATTGTCCGTGCTTAGATTTTAGCAGGACGAGTGAGCTGGCAACGTAGCAAAACTATACTGTGCTGCCTAGATGGGGTGCCGGGTTTCGGTTCACTCTCTTTTTGTGTCGCAATGCCACAAATGTAGAACCCTTGCGACCAATTACGCCAAACTAATACTTTCGTTCACCAACTCAGTCTTGTGTTACAAACCTTCAAGGAGTTGCTGAATAGGTTGGAAACACGAAAATACCCAGATACTTGTCGCGATACTTTTGCGTTTCTGCGAAGGGGAATCGAAACTCGAGTACTACTTTTTTAAGTTTTATTGACTTCGGCAGCAATCGTCGGGAGAGGAGAAAACACTCACGAGTATCTGGGCAAAAAATGAAAAGAGAGAAAAGGTTTCACTTCCCAGCGATGAAAAATTGCAGCTTTTTCTGTGGAGTAACCAGGGAACATGCTCTTCTCTGCGTCTCTCAGGACAGAAGGGACGAGACAGCTCTTGTACCGTGCGGTTGTGCGCGCGCATTCTACAGAAGGGCGGCCACGACGTGCTCTAACAGCGCCGGTATTAAGGCTGTCTATTTGGGTGCCCTTTAAGGCGTACATTGTTTGCGTAGTTCGCAAACATAAAGAGATTCTCTCTTGACCATCAAATGCTTTCACTAAATCTATGAAGGCCAGGTATAGAGGGCGATTTTGTTCTCTGGATTCTGTATCATACTCTTGCGCTGGGTCTAAAATCACACTGTGTCTCTGGGAGGTTCTCTTCGGCAGTTGGGATTAGACTATTCGTTTTCGTTAGAATATCGAGGAGTGTAACTTTCCCGCAACAGAAGGTAAGGATATTCTTCTGCTAATTTCCACATTGAGCCTTGTCTCTATGTATGGAGGCATCTCTAAGTTCGGCAGGTATGGTCCCACTAATCCACATTTTGACTAATTGCTGTTTATTTTTCTGATTGCCTTCTCAACCTCCTCTAATCTGGGAACCTGTTGACTTGTTGTATTGGTTTCTGTGGAATTTCCTTAAAGATGTTATTAAAAATAAAACACGCGCAGTACGAGTTTTCAGCACAGACTAAATTTATTGACTAATGACGAAAAGCAAAACGTGAAAAAGAAACAAGAATCCCAATAAAAGAAAGAGACAGGCATACAATAATATCTCAATAAAAACTTGCATGTAAACGATGACAGATGGCGTTGACTATATTAATAATTCAAATATAATAATATTGAGCTTAATACTTCAACACTCCCACTAGCACAAATAATATTATTCAACACTAGAAATACCCAACATATCCAGATATTTATAATGTTTGATTGAACCCAAACTTTTAGTCATGACATCGGCAGGCATAATCGCTGTTTGCAAATTTTTCATATCAACAAGTTTTTTTGATACTGAATCCTTACCAAAGTGATGCTTTATATCTATGTGCTTACTCCTTTTGTGAAACACAGGGTTTGCAGACAGGTTTAATGCACTTTGCACAAATCAGGCAGTAAATTCTTAAAATAAACAGCTTCTTTCGAAGCTTTCGAAGCTGCCATATACTCATCTTCAGTGCTGGGGAGAGCCATAGTGTTCTGTTTCTTACTTTCCCATGAAACACAAGAATCTGAAAATTTAAAACAGAACCCTGAATACGATTTCCTATCAATGACATCGTTAGCCTAATCAGCGACTACAAATCTCACAAATCCAATTCATTTTTATAAAACTTTAAACCATAACTTTTCGTTCCCTGAAGATATCTCAAAATTCTTTAAACGCATTTCCAATGTGAAGCATGATGACAATTATTGAATTGACCTAAATAGCCTACCGAGAATGAAATGTCTGGTCTGGTGAGAACAGACAAATACATCAAACTTCCAATTACTTGGTACTTCAATATCATTATTTTCACTTTTTACAAGTTTAATATTTGCCTCCATGGGCGTACGCACTGGTTTACAATTTGACATATAAAATTTGCACAAAACATGATCTATAAAATGCTCCTGATCCAAAGCTATAACATTATCTGTTTTGTCAACACTTGCCCTCATGCCCAGGATTGCTTTAAATAACCTAAATCTTCCACTTCTCTGAATTTAACATTGATTTCTCTTTTCAAATCATCACTATCACTTTCATTATTTGAAAATTTGGAAAAATCGTCAGCATACAAAGCCATAACAGTGAGATTTAAAGTCATAACTTTTGTTCATGTGGCGACCTTTTAAACCCTAAACTCAATAAAAAATTATCTGCCTTCATGTTCCATGCTCTAGAGGATTGTTTTGATCCATATTACAGCACGTGTTAGTTTACAAACTTTGTTTACATTTTCTGGCAAAATAAAATCCTCGAGTTGAGTCATAAACACTGTTTCCTCTAGATCACCGTTCAAGAAGGCAGTGGATACATCTAATTGATACATATCCAAATTCAACTTGACTGAGAAGGCAAGAGTGTCTAACCACAAGGAAAAAGTGTCACTGAAATCAATGCCTGGTTGTTAGTTAAACTCCCTAACTACTAATCTAGCGCTATATCTAATTTTGCCATCACCATCAAATTTTTGTTTAAAAACCCATTTACAATCCACAACTGTTCCATCTTTTGGTAAATCAACAAGATCCTATGCATCATTCTCCTTGAATGAACGGAGCTCATCAAGCATTGCTTGACACCAATTTTCTCCGTTTGGTCCTCCTGACAGCGCCTTTTTTACTGTAGGTGGATTATTTTCGAAGTTCACACCACTATCCACGCACATATGACTCACATAATCTCGAACTTCTTTCTTCTTGGGTTCACGGGTAGATCTTCTCACTGGTTCACCGTCATATACAAATTCTTCATCATTCGTATCTTGAAAATCTTGATGCACTTCTGACTGATCAGTTGCTACCTCCAACTGATTTTCAGTTGCTCCCACTGCAACAATGTTTTCTGTGAGGTTTTCTTCTTGTTCCGTCTGCTCTATTTCTGTGTCTTCGTAAACCATATTCTGACTCATTTTCTTGGTATTTTCTTCGGTATTTTCCATTATGATGACATCCCTACTAGTGATAATAGATCCATTTTTAGGATTATACAACCCGTAACCTTCTATGTTTTCGCAAAAACCCACAAGTATCATCTTCCCCGACTTTCTGTCCCATTTCTGTGTTCCTACTTTGGAAATATGGACCATCACAATGCTGCCAAATATTTTCTCATTACTTAAATCTGACTTTTTGCCCGTCCTCATTTCATAAGGAGTGTTTTCAAACCCAAACCCTGAAGCTACTGACCGGTTCGTTAGATATACTGCTGTGCCAACAGCTTCTGCCCAAAACCTTTTGTCAAGATCAGTTTCGAAAAGAAGACATCTAGCTTTTTCGACTAGTATCCTGCTATTCATCCTTTCCGAAAGGCCGTTTTGTTCCGTTGTGTATGGATTGGTTTTTTGCTGTATTATCCCATTGGCTTTTGAAAAATATTCAAATACCTGGCCTTTTGATTTTAGAAAGTAAACAAAAACCATTCTGCTAAAATCATCCTCCAATAATACATAGTATTTGGACCCACTTATCGATGCCATCTCCATAGGCCCACATACATCTGAATCAATGATTTCCAAAGTACTTGTGGCTCTTGTACCTTGATTTGAAAAAGTTAGATGTGCCTGTTTCCCTTCACAGCACACTGTACAGTTTCTCATCTGCTGATCAACTTCTCTTGTACAGGACATTCCTTCTACCAAACCATTTTTTAGTTTATTAAAATCCTAGGAATTAATATGCCCCAATCTTCGATGCCAAACTTCTCCCGAAGCTGCTGGCAACAAACATTCGCCCATCGAAAACTGTTTTATATTGAGTATATAAACATTATTAATCATCTGCAATAGCCACCAGAACATCCTGCTAATTGAAAATTGTGCAGCATTTTGCTTGCATCAGACTTTATTGAATTCTCATTTTGTATTAACTGGCCAAATAACAGTAAGTTTGTAGTTAGATCTGGCACACATAACATAATGTTTTTTTTTATAACTGTATTAGCCCGTTCCATAGATCTGAATCTGTATTGATCCGGGCGCTAAAATCACCTAAAAGAACAAGTTTATCAGATCTAGATACAGATCATTATGGTTTCACTAAGTTGAGCATTAAATTCTTTATTTTTGGTTTTCGTCAGCTGTGAGGGTTGGAGCGTAGGCGCTGATTAGCGTTGCTTGTTGGTTCAAGCTCAGCAAGATGGTAAATAAATTCATTTTCTATGGCAAAACTCACTCTTTGGATGCGAGGTTCATCCTGTTGCTTTTCTTAATAGAAAAACCTATAGCCTCCTCTGTGCTCCTTAAGTTGACCTTCGCCTGCTCTTCTGGTTTCGCTTAGAGCTGCAATATCGATGTTAATTTTTTTTAATTTCCGTGTCATCATTACCGTTCTTCGTTGTGGTCTTGTATTTGTGTTGGTACCCATAGGTGCAACTTGCCGATCGCCGAAGGACTTTGGTGTGCTTTGGACTTGATGGTCTTACGTGTCCTAGAATAGAAGTTGCCTGTGCGTGACTTTTATCAACGTGGGTATGCTGCAGAGTCAGCAGACCCACGGTCCCTAAGCTCGAGTTCCGACCCAATGGCATAGAAACTGAGACGATCGGATCTCTCGAGCTCAGGCTTGATAAAGACCTGAATAAAAGGTCGAAACGTCGGCGAATTTGTTAATAAGGAAGTTTTATTCCATTTTGACCTTAACCTACAACTTCTATCTACCACAATAAGGAAACTATTAGAAAAAGCTTAACCTAATAATATGAACTACATTAATTGTCTGACCTTAATTTACTTCCTCATAAAAATCTTGTTTTTTCAATAATCAATTTTTATTATTTTTTAGACTGACCTAATTTTTTTACCACTCACAGTCCGAAAAAAAAATTGCATGCAAACAAATTCATTCACTAATTACCTTTTTGATTGATAGTTAATTATAAGGCAAACTGGTGCAAGCACGTTTTCATTGACGTAATTGATAAAGGCATAACAAATATAAGTAACCTAATTTGAGACCTCTCCAGCCAGCATAAAAAATTCTTCCGGAATAAAATAAAAAGCATGAATTGGTCAAAAAATTAACAGGGACAAATTTACTGACAATTCTCAACCGGAATAAAAATAAAATATTGCACATTTTTGCAGACCAGTGGAATGCATTATTAAAAATACTTAACCTGTCCCAGACCTTGTCAATTATCTCATCTATGCTAATTACTTTTTTTTCTTAGACAAATAAAGTTCAAGGTAATCTAATTATTTGCCGAATGTCTAAATTCTATTTAATTAAAAGCATGCATTCAAATAACTATGAGCATTCAGTAGTTATCGCATGGGTTCTTTTGAATTATTGCTTTTTATAATGTCATAGGTATTATTGATAAAAGTTCAATCATGAATATAAAGATTTGCAGCATATTAATAATACAATTTGATGTCGAAGGTGTTTTTTATTCGTTTTGCCGGTATTTATTAACTAATTTAATTTACATAATATCTTCCTATCTTGGGCAAGTTACTTTTATAATATCTTCAATGCAGTGCATAGGTGGTCTACAAACTGGCGTTTATGCTATTTGCTATATAGATATATATATTTGGGTAGATTCTTTTCCTCTCTCTGATCCTGATCGCATTTTTCCGTTTCCTATTTGGTTACCGCTACACAGAGCGCTAACCCTTTAGGACTTGTAAAATTATATCTGGCATCGCATTTCCTATTAGGCCAGCGCATATTGTCTACCGTTACATGGAGCGCTAATCATATAGGACTTGTTAAATTATATCTGACGTCGCGTTTCCTATTAGACCAGCGCACCCCCTCTGCGATCGTCTGCAGACATTCATTGCACATTGCACTGCAATCCATTTCAATTCATTGTCATTTTTTGAGGTTAATTGGTGTTTACAGGTGATGCAATGATTTTGTAATATTTCTCGCTGTGTCTCGTTTTATTATTTCTGTTGATTCTGCACTGAGAAATCCTCTAGCCAAAAATTATCTACTAATGTATTTTCGGCTATCTAGCAGAAATTTTAGCTGTAATTGCAAAACCATCTTATTCTAGTAGTAGAACGCACTTTACTAAGTTAGCAAAAAGTCACTTGGTTGTAACAGTTAAGTTCTTAGCGACCACTAATATTTTTTTCCTGTTATAGTGAAAACACTTATTATTATGAGTATATTTTCTACCGCGGCAAAATGCTTGCCTGCAACTATGAAACAGTTTTTCATAAGTTTTTTTTAATTACCGCTGGAAAGAATTTGGCTGCTACAAAAAAAGTTAATTTCTTCCTGCAAGTTGTTTTATTGTTTATTATTAAAAACCAACCCAATGTCAAAGGTCACGTAACATGTAACATTATGTGCGCTGGTCTAATAGGAAACGCGACTTCGGATATACTTTAACAAGTCCTATAGGAGTAACGCGCCATGTAGCGGTAGACAATGTGCGCTAGCCTAATAGGAAACGCGATGCCAGACATAGTTTTACAAGTCCTAAAGGTTTAGCGCTCCATGTAGCGGTAACCAAATAGGAAACGGAAAAATGCATCCTGATCGCTTTTTATCAGTTCTGTGCAAATAATACTCTGAAAAACTCATGAAACATAATTTATGGTTTCTTTTTTCTAGAGACTTATTGCCAAACGCTACGGGTATCCATTTGAGAACCATGAAGTGACAACCCACGATGGATACATTTTGAATCTACACAGAGTACCTGGACCAAGGAACACCATTTCGAAAAATGGCAAAAAGAGGACACCTATATTCATTGTCCATGGATTGGCTGCTAATTCAGCGTTTTCGTTCATGCAAGGAAAAAAATCGATAGGTAAAGAAAATCTCGTAACTTGAATTTCAAAAGTAACACTTTTTTTTTTCACAGCATTTTACTTGGCCGATAGCGGCTTTGATGTATGGTCAGGAAACTTGAGGGGTAACACTTACGCCAATAAACATATAAATGGAACAGTTTCCAATGCAGAGTATTGGGATTTCGGGTAAAATTTTTTTGGATCCAAGAGTTTGTAGCGTTTTCAACGCTGAACATTCAATACTAAGTTCTGTATATTTAGGTTTCTCAGGCTTTTCTCTGTTGTTGGTTGTGGTCTGTCGAATAACGCTTGGAGCAGGCTTACCTTTACAACATTCGAAAGACTAGAAAACAAATGCGTTGTTATGTATTGACTGGGTTAAACTTACTTCAATGATAAAGTGTCAAACGACACTATAGTGGTAAGAAAAGAAGAGACGGTTCTCTTCTTAAGTCATTCTGATTTAAAATGGACGATTGACAACCAGACGCCAATATTCAGTTAGGTTGATTGTAGCCTCTAATTATTGTCTGCCTTTTAAAACTTTTATAACCTAATTATGATGTTCATGCCCATCTCATTTCTATTTCTAGCTCAGTAAACCTATTGAAACATCTCTAATATAAATAATAAATGAGCGGACCCTGGTGTTTCGCACCAGCAACCCTTACATTCAATGATACTATTCGGGGTTCTTCAAATATTTGATCCTGTTTCTACCCTTGGGCGCCGATTAGGAAGTTGATATATGTTTGTAAAGGACAAGGGTTATAACCCTTGGCGCTCGAGAGGATGTTTAATATACAAAAATTAATATTTAGTCATTTTGATGTAGGGTGCTCATACTTCTGGAAATTTTATTTCAAACATTCAGTTAATTTGTGCCTATGTGAATGTACAAAGATATTCATATTCTCATAAATAATATTATTGGCATAAGGGTATAAGTATATTTTCTCATGTTTTAGAATTGAAGACATCGCTCTCAACGACCTTCCAGCCAGTATAGATTACATAGCGTGCCAAATAGGTGAAAAAGGAAATCTGATATATATCGGACACTCCATGGGGACCACCGTTTCTTACATTTATTCGACGTTAATGAGGAAACACGCCGGGGAAAATTTGAAAGCAATCATATCGATGGCTCCTGTTGCTTACATGACCAATACACAGGGATTATTTAAGACGTTAGCGCCTAGTACAGAACTTTTAACGGTAGGATTCATCTCGGGAGAGTTAAATTTAATAATATTTATTTCTTCTTTTCCTATCAAAAATAGATAATATTGAAAATAGCGAACATGCAGCAAAGCTTTCGAAAACATAATATAGGGAAAAGTAAACCAGAATGTCATCATCATAGGCAATCATTCTCTACCGAGTATGATTATCTCCTATTCTATTCTTATTGTCATCCATTGTGCGTTATCTGATAGCTACATAAACCAATTCTGGAGTCGCACACTCTTCTACAGTCTTTTAGCACACCCAGCCTCTCGCTCCTTCCTGATGCGGTCTTTCTTTTTGGTCTCGTGTCTGTGTCGCTGTTCTTGAAAAGTTTGTGGTCCACCGTGGACTACTCGACGGCATGAGGGCCTATCATTTGCCATCGGCTCCCAGTTGCTGGTATCGATGCGGAATTTTGCCATATTTACCTTTAGAACATCCTCAGAAGGCCTGTGAAGTTCAAATCTCAAGCCCAGGCCAAAGTATCAGTGATGACGTAGGCAGCGTGTCGTTTCTCGCCTTGACGCAGTGTTTGCACCACAGGCATGCCTCTGTCTTCTGCTTTAGATATACTTAGGTTTAGTACATTAATTAACATTTTTTAGATTTCGTTTACATCTTCCTTTTTGCCTCTTATGTTAATCTACGACCGCTGGCGCAAACAGCTGATTTCAAGGTTGATGACGTCGAAGTAATTTTGAGATTGGCTGATGTGAATTGACCAACACGGTCCTGTGATCTAACACCGTTGGACTTCTTTTTGTGAGGATATGTGAAAGATCGTGTTTATGCCAACAACCTTCTAACGAAAAAAATTGGTTGTCCTTGTGGCAATTGGCTCACTAGAGCTTACATTCTAAGCTACCTATACTTTTAAAAATTGAACTAAACTAATTTCTTCAAATTGTTGCTAATTTTCATGTGTTCCAGGGCATTTTAAAATCAAATGGCATCTACTACATTGGTCAATTTCCTTTTACCTTCCCAGTTATCAGCGATTTATGTGGAAAATATCCTTTTATAAACTTATGCAATTTGGTTACAATTCTTGCAGGTGGATATTCAGAATCCCAATTTCAGGCAGTAAGTTACTCGAATTGCTGCAAGAAAGTATATACCTACATTGCTATTTTTTTTTCAGGAAATCTTACCAGTTTTCTGGAGCTTCTACCCGTCACCAATCAGTCTAGGAATTCTCCAGCATTTTTCTCAATTTTCTGGAGGTAGATTTGCTAGGAGGGACTATGGTCCGTCTGGAAATATGGATAGGTACGGCAGTGATATACCTCCTGAATATGATGTTAGCCAGATACCAGTTCCAGTCCATTTGTTTGTTGGTCAATATGATGCTATTGCCACTTTAAAGGTAATTTGTTTTAAATACCGCATTTTTCTTGCTACATCTAAGACAAAATTAATTCAAGGCACCCTATTAGCACAACATGTTCGATGAGTGCTCTTTAAATGTGCTTTAAACGTCAGACAACTTTATTACAAGAACTAATGAAAAATATTATAAAATATACAGGGTGTCCCACGACGTTTTACCTAAGTAATATCTTTGGAACGCACCATCCAATATAATTGAAATGTTGAGGATCTGAGTAACTTTTTGTGCCGCTTCTACATGTGTCATCCAATTTCACCACTTTCGCTCCAGTTTCGGCCAAGTGGCGGCAACTTTAGAATCCCTAATGTGAATTATGGTATATTATGGCATTTATCGTTGGAAAATTAAATTACAAAATCGGCAATGACACATTTGTTAAAGAAAATGATAAAAAGAAGACACAGTGGAACATACGATGGCGCGTTTCGAAGTAGTCACCAGGGTAAAACCTTGTGGGACACCATGTATTTGAAAAATTATGTCCAGCAAAAATTTTTATAGAAAATTCTTTACGCGACTTTTGCCAACTATTTTCGATCTAGATGCTTAAAAAAGTTCAAAGCTCGGTTAAAAACATTCATTGTTCTAAACGTCCCTATGCTATTAGGGAACTGACCTTAATCATAGCCTAATGACAAAATGTTGATTTTCAGGATGCCGAACATTTGGAATCTAAAATTAATTCTGGATCAGCAGTAGCAAAAGCGAAATTATATATGTTTCCATATGATCATAATAATTTCTATACGGCAAAAATATCGAAGCCTCTATTCAAAACTATCGTGCAAATTGCTCGGACGTAGCTGTACCTACCTCTATATAGTTCCTTAGTGCTTCATTAAAAGGTAATTTTATTAAATTTATAGAAAAATTGTGATAAAAGACTTGGACTTCCAAAGAAAATCATTACGAATGTTCCAGGGTGCCGGAGATCTGGAAGAAAAAATCAATTCTCCTGATACTACAAAGCATCTATTTGACGTTGCTCAACAAGATTTTCTTATTGCCAAATATCCAATTGCGTTTTACAAAGAAATTTTCAACGTAATTGAATCGATCCACTGCTTTTTAAGTGAATATTTCTGTATATCTCACGTTGAAACAGTGAAAAGCTGTGATTAGTTAGTTTTTTGTATTTTTGTTGAGCTTTTGCCGTTGTTATCTGCTTTTTTTTTTGTTCAATATTTTTACTAAATAAAATTAGGCGTGACATTTTTCACATGTTTTATTTTTCACCTAACCCACCTGACGAAGTGAATAAATGAACTTCAAACTACCTCTCTTCCATAGCAACGCAGACCAAACTACTTCAACTTTGTTGAACATACAAACATGCGTTGAACAACAAAGCGTCTCCACTAAAACAACATTGTTGGATGGTGTTGATATTGGTTTTTTGAACATACAACCGGAACATCGTGTATACACCAGCACAATATATAGAAACATTGAAACATTAAAAGTCGAAAATAGCTTTAATGTGTTATGCATAATTTTTGGCGACAAAGTCGTAATCAAAATACCTAAATAATTCCTGAGCTAAAACAACATTCAAAAAAAAATACATAAAAAATTCAGCCATGTTGTGTGACGAAAATGAGTGACAGTCGCGGCTTGTTTTGTTCTTTTCCAGAAAAAATACGCGGTTAAAATTGCTGGCTTCGCTCAAGCAAAATCGAAAAATACTAGGAGGAAATGAATTGTTAAGCGATTTGCAGGGAGAATTTCGAACAGATGGCAGTTTCAAAAACTTACTCCATATGTCTAGTTTCTAGTTTTAATGTGGAACTTTAACTGAGGAAAATAAACCCCCTGATTCGAAAATCAGAAGATTTATCCATGCAAAATAAGCCAAATGCAACTTCTTGTGCCCAAGCGTCCACACCGATTTCAGTTTTTGTTTTTGTTGCTGAATGTTGGCGCGTGTTTCACATTTTCCTTTGACCTTTACCTCTCCAAAGCAATAAGCTACGTCCTCGCCGAAAGCAGCATACAGGAACATTGTGTTAATGTTGTTTGTTCCTAGAACTTGTTTCTGTAGGTTGCCAAAAGTTTATTGAAGTTCCTTATTGTTTACGGTTGCAGCAACAAAAGTTCCTATAGGTTGCTTGTTTTCATATTAAGCGACAAATAACAAAGGAAAAATAGGAATATGTGTTTCTTTGGTGTGGACTAAGCCTTATTTGTCGATAAATAAAGAAACAAGCAACTTATAGGAATTCTTGTTGCTGCAACCGTAAACAATAAGCAACTTTAATAAACTTCTGAAAACATACAGGAACAAGTTACTGGAACAAGCAACTTAAACGCAATATTCCTAAATGTTGTTTTTGGTGTGGATGTAGCTTAAGCTATACACAGAACAAACGTCAAATCTTGTTTAACGCGACATCAACAAGCTTAGTCCACATCAAAAAAACACATAGGAACATTTTGTTGCTGGTTGCCGCAACCTGTTTATGGAAACATTCTGTCCACACCATGGTTACTCATTTTTGTGAATATTGCGTTGTGCTGATGCAACAGTAAACGCTGTGTTTACATCACTGTAGTATGTTGTGAGTTCCTAGTTTGGAAAGAATTGTGGTGAGACGACGATTTGCAGGCAGCAGCAGCTGCAATTGTAATTATTTTACAAAAACCAAAAAAAAAAAAAATCCGTAAATGTTGGACTAGACCAAGTATTTTAAACATAAAGTCACATGGTGTCCTATGCCTTCTAAATTAATTGAAGAAAGATGATATAATATCAGAATGTAAAACTGATAATGGATAGGTACATTATAAAAAAAATGTCGTATGAGTAGTACCTACTGATTTGGAATGGTTATTGTGTGAAATTTCATCTCTAATTCAAAAGGAAGATAAGAATTATAGCTGCCATATCTCCATTGGAACACCTACTATTTAACACTTCGATTTTTTACCACGAGAGGTTCATATACTTCTCTAATGTACCTACTTATTTCGAATTCCCAAACAAGCGATTTCCTTAATTGTACCAGAAGTCTGTGATGCTATTATATCAGTTCTTCAGGATCAAATTATGGTAAATGCATTAGTCTGTTAACGTAGAGCAAAAGTAATAATTTTATTCAGAAAACATAAAAGACAAAAATAGTGGCAGCGAATTCTTCAATTAAGCAATTCCTCAGTATTGTGTTATTTGTAGTAGCAAATGCAAACTATGAAGTTATTTTGATGAATGTTGGTTCTCAGGGGCTCATATCAGACGAAGAGGTGTTTGCCAATACTCGTTTTGGAAAGATGGTATCAAATTGTCAACTCCATTTGCCAGCTGGTGACCATAACCTTCCTGGACTAACAAAGTTAGCACCACATGTGTTTTTGGGGGATGATGCCTTTCCATTATCTCGTACTTTATTGAATCCTTTTCCCGGACATCAGGAAGAAGGAGCATGTAAAAAGAATATTCAATTATTGACTCTCGAGGGCCAGAAGGATTTCAGGAAACGTATTTGGAATAATGTCGGCTACCTAAATTCAGAGTACTCAGAAAACCACTTACTCTAGCTCTTAAGAAACACAGAAAATTGTGACGCCAATGGTAATAATGGTATGATTACACAAGTTTTTAATTTGAAACGCAGACAGCTTTCAAAACAAACTCATGATCCGTCTGGTACATTTGAACTGGAGACAAAGATACTGGTAAATTGATACCTGGTACGTGGAGAAATAGCGTAAATGGACAACTAATGATGTCATTACAGAAACAAGCTCGTAACTCGTCAACTGAAGCTAAAAATGTTCGACAACAGTATGCAGATTTGTTTGTGTAACCACAGGGATTATTACCATGGCAAAATGACTAGTAAAATATTATAGTTATTAAAAAATTTTGGATTAATTTTCCTTGCTATTCCATCCACAGACGCGTTTCGACCTATCAGTTCTCGTCAGTGTGGCTAGGAAAGCAAGGAAAACCAATCCAAGTTTAGTGCCTGTGAGCAAAATAGAAGTAGTACGATGAGCAAAATTTGAACGTGGCGCCATCTAAGACTAGGATTCAACACTAACCAGCACTTTTGCTGTTTTAGTCCTGACCATCTAATAGGCCGACCAAAAATCAGTTAGTTGGGAAAACCCAAAATAGGGAAAACAAGTTTTCTCCTATTATCCTCTGATGTGAAAATTTTGGATTAATTTTCCTTGCTATTCCATCCACAGATGCGTTTCGACCTATCAGGTCTCGTCAGTGTGGCTAGGAAAGCAAAGAAAACCAATCCAAGTTTAGTGCCTGTAGGCAAAATAGATTTTTGGTCGGCCTATTAGATGGTCACTACTGTCGCTACTAAAACAGCAGAAGTGCTGGTTAGTGTTGAATCCTAGTCTTAGATGGCGCCACGATCAAATTTCGCTCGTCGTATTATTGTTATTCTAGTAAAAAAATAAAATATTCTGTACCTACTTGCATTTGTATAATCTATTCCTTTTTCGGTGCAGGTTCCAGGTGCTTGTAGGCAAACCGTTTGCTCAAGCACCAGATTTTTGATATAAGCGATATTTTTTTTTTCTCTATAGTACTCTACCATCAAGTTTTTAGTTTTTCTTCATCAACACTAACTCCATCGCGAATCCCATTACTTATGTCCACCTACAAATCCTGTTTTTGGTGACGGTCTTTATACTTTTTATACTCGGCATTTCTATATAAATCAAATAAACATATATTTTCTGTTGTCCATTTAAACGGTACCTTTTTTAATATATAATATTAATGTTTCTATTATCAATAAACTACATCATTCACCACAAGTTTCGAGTTTTGGGAAAGAGCAACAACGTGTCCACACAAATTAGGTTGAGAAACACAAAATGTTTACCAATGTTCCTTTATTTCTTCTGTCATTTGTCGCTAAATATGGAGACAAACAACTTATAGGAACTTTCATTGCTGCAACCTTAAACTTAGTCCACACCAAAAAAATACAAAGGAACCAACCTGTTTATGGAAACAGAAATAACAGCAAAATTTCTGTAAACATTCTGTCCACACCATGGTTACTCATTTTTGTTGATATTTCGTTGTGTTGCTACAACAGTAAACACTGTGTCTACACCAGCAGTGTGTGTTCCTAGTTCCGAAACGGCTTAGTTTCGAGTTTTGGAAACAAGCAACAATGTGTCCACACTGATAAAAATTGAGTTGAGAAACACAAAATGTTCCTTTATTTCTTTTGTTATTTGTCGCTAAATATGGAAACGAGCAAACTTATATATGATCTTTTGTTGCTGCAACCTTAAAAAAAAACAAGTTCCCGGTACAAGCAACATGAACACAATGTTCTTATGTGGTGCTTTCGGTGTAGACGTAGCTTAAATCGTTGTTCCTACCACATTGTTTCGAAACTAGGAACACACACTGCACTGATGTAGACACAGCGTTTACTGTTGCAGCGGTAACGTGAGCAGAAGAAATTAAGGTTAATTATTAACCTTCCGTTTGAACATGTTAAGATTAAATCGTTCGAATGAAGACACATGGTCATGCCAAGACAAGTTGGTCGATGCGGTTAGTACCCCAAGAAGAGATAGGTACTGAGGGATTGATAGAAATATTTCGTCCCGACATCCTCAAAATTGGGCTAGCATCGGCGGAAGATTTCTTATTTGAAAATACTGTTGCTTAAGTTTTGGAAGCATTGAATTTGATAAGGTTACTAAAGGCCCCAGTTGATAATGGTGTCAAGAACACTGTTGATAGAGTGAATCTGTTCTCGGGCGAGGCGTGTGGAAGTGACTGCAGTAAGCGGTTTGTCAGAAGAGATATTTAGATGCCATCAAGCTGCTATCGTCCGCAAAACTGAAAAGATTCTTGTTTTTCTAATTTTTCTTGGGGTTTGGTTAACATAATCTGTACCTACCTAAGCAAATAAAATAAATGTTTGTAATTATATTCATCCGTAAACAAACAAATATTATCCTTGTGTTATAATTCTGCACGTTTCTATACTGAAAACATTATCATATAATAAGCCAAAAATAAGCGGCGTCTTGCATACAACACATACCTTTTTACCAAAAAGAGGCGGTTTTACACCACGTGAAGGCGTTTATTTTTGTTTGTCGACACATTTTCAAATCGTAAACGTGGCACAATATCAGGGGCGTAATATTAAACCAGGACTATAAAGAACGTCTAGACTTCATCGAAACTTTTGTTAAATGGCCTTGTTCAGAGACACATTCGCGAGGGAAAACTCTTTTTTGATGATGAC